GCAGAAATGGGTTCTTTGGTTTGAAATCTCTAGGAAAACATAGTTATATTGAGAGCGTTGTATCCACATTTTAAATTTTCAACCCAAATCTTGTTAACAAACGCGAGTAAGTTTTTTAGAAATTTGGTTACAAATACAGTAAAAAAAATCTATAAACTAATAGTGTTGAAACTATGATATTTTATTAATTTATTGAGTTATTAATTTACAAAAAAAAAATTATTTAGATTTTTATATTTTAAGATACATTTTTTCTAAAATTAAAAATATATTTGATTTTAGTGTATATAAACTAATTACCTTTTTTATATACTAAAACCCTAAACGATTTTTGGAACTGCTATGTTCTCTCTCTTTTCGGGCGTGAAGGAGATGATCTCTATTTTTTCCTATATAAAATCTTCATCACTGACACAACAGAAATCAATCTCTCGATGTTTGTTGTATTAACCGATGGGGCAGATTAAAAAAAGCGAGAGAACCGTGAGGGATATACCCATATATTTTTCGATATTCACTATTCTTGTTCATCTTTTTTCTTATTCTTCCCGGAAGCGTAATTTTTTTTATTCTTTCATCAGAGATACTTAAAGAAATGTTTCATTATCCAATTTGTCGACGGATCATTCTCAGTCTCTTCCGGTTACAAATCGGAACTGTTATAAGATCGATTCGAGTGAAATGCTACATGGACTGCATCCACTTCGTATCTATTATCTCCGGCGTGGTCTCTATGTCCATGATCGATGACCAGTCTCTTTGGTATTTGAAAAGCAGTTTGGGTATTCATGTACCAAAACTAACGAGACGTTATCGCAATCGTTTATTTATCTTCATATTATTATTGGAAAATAACCCGGCCGAAAAACTACAAAATGAGGTTTTGGTTCTTATTCTCTCCTGGCCATTATAATATGGTGGGCATTGCTTAAAGGTGAGCATTAGAAGGTTCATAATGGTGAACGAACAGTTCAAAAGCCATATTACCATACAATACAGTTGGTATCGAATAATGGAATACTCTGGGTTTTTATTGAAATCCTGGCAACCATCATGAAGGCGACAATGGTTCAGGTTTGGAAATATTTTCTTCTTATTGTATACCGATGTTCGTACAATCGTTAAAAATTGGCGATCTCATTTTTTATTTATTTCGGATGAAACAATATATTCGATTCTAATCTGAAATATATCTATAGATCCAATTTGGGATCCGGCCAATAATATACAAACAAAAGAATTTGGCCTCTATAATGCGACATGAAATTGAAGATCGCAAGAATATTAGCAGTGTTGGTTCTCCGGTAATAAGGATAACCTTTCAAGAAAAATCATCTATATTTTTTTTGTTTACTCTATTGTTTATTATTTTAGTTATGTTTGTTGTTTTAGTATTCTTTGTACTTTTTATGTGTTTGTATAAGTTATATAAATAAATTAGTTGTTAAAAAAAAACTAATTACCTTTTTCAAAATTAGACATTGTATTGGTTTTATTATATTACTTTGATGTATATTTCTTAGAATTTAAATGTTTTTTAGATATAATCTTACTAGATCTCATCAAAATATACTAAATGTTAAGAAAATATAAAATTAATTCAATTGTGAATATAAAACAAGCAATATAATGATAGGTTCGTAATTATATAAAATATGTATACATATAAATTATTAATTTATAATTTTAATGACGTAATATAGTTACATAGGATTTTCTTTAAAAAAAGGTTATTATCTTTTTATTTTATCAATTTATGTCATATTTTGAACTAGTCCAACTTGAAATTGGAAAAAAAATTACTAAAGCGCAAGTCACTTGAGCAATCAAAAATTTGACACATGTAATTTTTTTCAAAAAAAAAATTATATCGCGTTCTTTTTGATTGTAAATGTTTATATATCTGAAACAAAATCCCTATTTTCTCTCCATCGATTATTACATCATCAAAACGTTCTTACATTCAGCAACTCCCACTATTAATTGTTTCATCTCTTATGTAAAGTTCAGTTAATCCCTTATCTGTATTTTCCTCTCTTTTTCTTATATTTTCTAAGCAACCTCCTCCTTTTCTTTATCGATTCATTCTTGGTCTTTTATTTGAGTTTTGAAGATGATAAAGATTCTATCAGATCTACTTCTATTTTGTAGCTTGACTTTTCACAAAGAAATGGAAAGTTAGAGTTTTGTTTCACAGACTTACGAGTAGAGACATGAAATTATTCTCAAAGTGAAAAGCTATATTCGTGTGGAAAAGGTAAACACAATTACATTTGCACTTATGATATCTGATATTATTTAAATAAATGAAACTCAAATTTGTATACATTTTCATATAGCAAGGAAATATAATTCAAGCTTTTTTGAAACAAAACATGATAAAACGTAAATGAGATCATATATTATAATTTAAATACTAAGTATATATGTAAGGATTATCTTAAAATTTGTTAACCGTACTAAACTACCTAAGAAAATTTCTGCAGACATATGATTTGGATATAAAAAGGTGTGTGCAGATAATTCATTAAGAGATTTTAATTATATTTTACACATATTTGGATATTAAATATGTTCAACGAAATCTATATTTTTATTTATTGTATTAAGCTTTTGTGCCAATGTGTTATCTAGATTTAAAAAATATGTGACTAAACAATTATTTATTTTCATATGTTGATAACCATTACAGTTTTATGATCAAAAAATCTGGAATACAATAAAACTAGGATAAGACTTGCGCCTTGCGCAGAGTGAATATATGTAATTAAAATATAAAATTTTAGTATTGATACATTTAAAATTTACAGATAATTTTTTTATGTATTTGAAATTTTAGAATTTTGGAATTTTTAAATAATTATCTATACGTAGGATCATAAACAATTGTAATTAGAACTGTAGATCAAATCTTATAATTTAGTGGACCCGATTTCATATATCTTTTCACTTTTTAGTGTTCGAGTGATGAAAAATAAACAGAGTGTCATTGGACTTGATGAGTAGATTATTAGCAAAATTCCTAATGTTTTTTTAAGAAGCAGTTGGTAAAATAATTGCATTTAAAATATATAAAGTTTCAAAACTAATTTAATATAATTTATTTATTTGTATAATAACATTAGAAAACTATATTTTTTTACAAATTATTATTTTTAAAATAATTTTATAAAAAATTAAGTTAAATTTTAAATTATTTTTAAAAAAAATATTTTAAGTTTTTCAAATATAAAAAAGAATTTAAAATTAATTATGGTCATGAGTTAACATAACCATGATTTTAAAAATTAAAAAATTAACAAATTAAAAATTAACTCAGTTTTATATCATGATTTAACAATTTAAAAATTAATTATGGTTATGAGAAGTTTACGTTCACGTGTTAATCCTATTTATCTTCAATTTTTTCTCTTGTTGTGTTTTTTTATATTTTGGTTATTACTCGATATAAATATTGATTTTGAAGTTTATTCTCATTTCGTTTATTTGTTTTGACCTAAGATTTAGAAAATACTTATGAATTAAAATAATTAAAAAGATACATACTTAGGTTAAGATCTGCACTTTATGAACAATAAGTATTTTATATTTATAATTTATTTTATAATATTCTGCATATCATAAATAATAAAATAATAAATATATATATATTACATAACTAAGAAATCAGTCACTATTATGTAATAAATTGACGTATGCATATAAATTTAACTATCACTCTTGTTTATTCGTAATTAGCGGAAATAAATCAAAATAATCAATCTTATATTTTGTATATGATATATAATTAAATTTAAATGATATAAACATAGTAATATGGCACACTTTTAATATTGATATTTATTAAATGAGGTTTCTACTCATATAATTTTATGATTATTTGCATAATCGTGTAACAAAACTTTACACCAACGATTTTTTTTTTAATGTGAGATGTTTAGTAGTTTCAATAATTTATAATCATTTAAAAAAAAACAATGACATATTTCAAAATTAAAATATTAAATTTTCAATATATGTTGAAGACAAATATCAAAATATAAGTATGTATTTTCATACGATTTATAGTTTAATTAAAACGATATGAAATATATATATAAACTAAAATTATTTCTTCATATGGTCTTATAATCATTATATTTTAATATAGAAAAAATTAAAATCTTGATCCTTAAAGTTTATGTGAGATTTTTAACAGTTTTAGTAATTTATACTCATTTTCAAAAATTCGAAATAGAACATACACAAAAAAAAATCTATATTTTTATTATATGATTAATGTAATTGTGTAATTTATTTTAATAATAAATAAATAAACAAAATGAGAAAAAATATACAGATTGTTATCAAATCTTTATTGTTTAAAATCATTAATTGTCATATATATTTTAATCACATTAGGTAATTCCGTAGGTTTTATTTAAGGAAAGCATGCGAAACAATAAATATTTGATATATGCGCAACTATAGTCTACTAAATATTATATTGCTAGAGAATACAATTTTTAGACTATACATTATATCACATGCTCTAAAATCCTTGGGATTTGAAATAGAAGCCAAAGAGCTATGCCACATAGGATTGGGGTTATTTTTAATTCTTACAAACTTAAGATTACAACTTTTTAAATGATTCTCAAATAATATATAGTGGATTAGTGATCCATGCGAAACACGGGAGGTGATACTAGTTAATTTATAGATCGAGTATTAATATATAGAGTTTCTGTTATATGACTAACACGGTTTATGATGATTATGGTAATCAAAACTAAATAAAATGCAATAAATTTTGAAATGATAATTGATTAGGTTTGTCTTTCTCTATAGAAACCAAACTATGGAAACAAAACCTTTTATGGTTTTATTTTCTTTTTCTGGAAATGTAATAAAACAAAACTAACTGAAAATATGGTCACTGCAAAAAGGAAAAATGTTTCAACATTTTTATAACCTCATCTCAGAGTTTACACAAAACAAAAGTACATAAATCAGCAAAATCAAGAATTTTGCTTACGGTGCTGTCTTTTTGCTTCAAGAAGAGTTGCTTCTTCCAAAGTATCAGCAGACTCAGGGATCATATTGAATTTGGATAGTGCCACAGACTGCAAGTAGAAGGCGGTTGGCCAATCAGGGAATACTGATTGCGCAGTCATCCCATCGCGAAGTGCTCCTTCTCGTTGATTGCAGAATAAATAGCATAGACAACGCCTTGCATAAACACTTGGGTACACCGTTCTCCTAGAATCAATGAACTGGACAGAAACACACACAATTATAGAAACAGTATTTTTAGTATATTCAAGGTAATAGGGTTGAACATACTAAGTTACCTGAGAATAACAGTTAATGGCAGTTTCAAAGTCTTGCTCAAGGAAGGCTTGATCACCATGTTTTCGAACCTCTTGAATATCTTTTACCTCTTCCATCCATTCTTCGAAAGAGAACTTAGCACATGAACAAACATAAAATAGAATAGTAAGCCTTTGACGCCAAATTAGCAGCAGAATCTTTAGTTGATGTGTTTGGTTACCTCGATCACCTCCTTGTCATCTGCATATCCTGCTATCACCAATATTTTATGAATAGCTGTGAGGTCCATTCTCAGACAGGCCTTTCCTAGTGGNATCCATTCTTCGAAAGAGAACTTAGCACATGAACAAACATAAAATAGAATAGTAAGCCTTTGACGCCAAATTAGCAGCAGAATCTTTAGTTGATGTGTTTGGTTACCTCGATCACCTCCTTGTCATCTGCATATCCTGCTATCACCAATATTTTATGAATAGCTGTGAGGTCCATTCTCAGACAGGCCTTTCCTAGTGGCGAAAGTTTATTCCAAGATAAATCTCTTTGATTCACCATTTCAAGCATTGCGTAAGATGGGGCCTGCAAGCAAGAATATCGGTTTTAACATAAATTCACAAAAAAAAAAAAATCGAGAATGAAACTACTGTCACAATAATAGATTACATCTGTTTTAGTTTGCAAGGTTTCAAGTGTTGTAACAATGTCTTTCGTGTTGATACTCTCTATATCCTCATATTGCAAACATCGAGAAGCGAGTTTGAGAACTATGGTAGCTTCGTCTGCAGAGAAATTTCCCTTCAAGTTTGGATCAATCAACTCAACAATATCTTTCCCATGTATCATGTCATGAGCCTAGAAGCAGAAAATTAATTAATAAATTTTAAAGTATACATAGCATTTGAATTGTGTTGCAGGAAACTGACAATGAATTCCAAGGATTACAATCACAAAGTAAAGACAAAATGGTTTATATCCACATATCAGCCTACTAAACTTGTAAGTAAGCGAGCGATAACTTGAACACAATAACTTACATGGCTTGGAGGAATTGGCTTTCCACTTAGCAAATCCATAAGGATGGTACCAAATCTAAACATCACACTTTCAGGGTTCACACTTCCTACAAGGACAATATATCATCACATTCTAATAATAATAATAATAATAATACTAAGAATAATAATAATATAAAGAGATTATTGAAAATCGATTACCAGTTGTTCTTTGATCATTGTTGATCTCCTTCATTAGCCCAAAACAGGAAAGACATGCATCACCATTCTTCAATATCCATGAAGCAAGAAAATTAAAAAGGTGGTCCAGCATCTTGAAACCACAAGAACGCATAGCTAGGAAAATGTTTTTAGGAAGAATCTATATATTATATATACCTCATCAAACAAAATTGAGTAAGCACTTAAACTATTGTAGGATGCAAAGCCTGCACTACTACAATAATCCAATGCTTCAGCTGTAGAATATGCTGCTTTCAATCGCATTTCCCATGTCATGGTTTGATTTTTCCCTGTAATTAGCAATAGAACAAAGTCATATACATAAGATGCTAACAAGTTCTGATTCAATCGATTGTACAAACATATGCAATGAAATATGTTAGTGATGGATCTTTCTAGCCACAACATTTATTTGTCTTTAGAATCATCTAAATCACAATAATGTTAAGTAAACCACCAATATAGAATGTAAAAGTAAAAGAACACACGATGGAACAAATGCTTAGCAAGAGTATCATTTGGCATGAACTCGGCAACGAGAAGCCTTTTCTCTCCGTCGCAGCAATATCCAATCAAATTAACGAGGCTCTTGTGCTTTAGCCCCCAAACTCTATGTGCCTCCTCCTGAAAGGCAAACCATAATCAAACCATCGAAAAAGCAAACATGAACCGTCTCAAAAATTGATTTTTAAAAAAGAAAGGATACCACAAATGTCTTAGGATTAGGCCAAGTCATATTATTAAATTTCTTAATAGCGACCAAGCCACGATTCTGCAAACGGCCCTTGTAGACAACATTGGACGATTCTCCTATGCTCTCTGAAACAATATTTTTCAAATTAAAATTTTCGGTGGCCATGTTGAGATCGGAGAAGGAGAACTTTGTCAATGGTGGATCTCCTTCTCTGTGGTTTTGGTGGGCTCGATGTTGAGGAACTTCCCCGGAAGACGATGAGTAGCAACACCCCATGGTTATTTCAGCGGGCAAAAGCAAAGTTTCAAAATGTATTCCTTGTTCTTATTGATTATTCATAGTAGAACACTGATTTATTATTTCTTTAGTTGTGTGATCCTTTGACTGGTGTCTCTTTGTTGCCAATACAATAGTCTCATTTTCATAGCATTAATAACATTGACCATCATATTCGTGCCAGAATAAATGACTTTCTATCTTTATTGCCCCTCCAGAGCCTTTTTCTTGTTTTAACTAGGGCTCGGTATACAGATGGCACTTGAAAAGAGGGAAATATCAAAATTAAGATAGAGCATTTTTGTAAATACACGATATATTTTAGGGTGAATGTTTTAGAAAAAAATAGTTTGAGATTACATGAAATATTTTATTATCCCAAATGACTTTTTTTTTTAATACGTGAAAACCTCTCCCCTTTTTTTAGTGTAAGAAACTAGAACTCTTTTGTATAAATTAAAATAAAACTTCTACGATGTGGGCTTATAAAATTCCTTTATTTTGTTACCATTTCCTTCTCTAATTGTCACTTATGAGATTATGGGTCAACTTTGACCTACTTTTGCCGGAAACTATTAGATAGTTTCCATGTCTGAACTTTGCATTGTGGTGACAAGTGTTATTAAAAAGCCAAAATATCCTTAGTCCAAATTCTTGTTTTGCTAAAAATAATTTCAGTTTACTTTTTGGGATTGATAAATTTAATTTTAATAATATTTGACTCCAGTATTCAATCTTTTACACTGAAGATTTAACATCGAGTCATTATGATACCTAAAAAACACATTGCTATTTAGTTTTTTTAGCGCATGAAACCCCTTTTTTTTTTAACTTCAGATTCATTCATCTATATTATTAAAACTGAAGTATCTTTTAATACTATTTGGAAACATGGATAACAAAATAAATGAAAATTGTTTGGAACATAGATAACATATTATATATTTCCTTTTATTTACATATTTAGTCATTACATTTACAATATATTAAATATTTCTTCTGTATTTCTTTTTATTTACAAGTTCTACCAATGCATTTAAAATAGATTTAACTTAATTAATTACAATGGTTGTTATTTGTTTGTGGTGAAACTAAAAACACAATAGTATTTATTATATAAAACAACTTTTAAATACAATACTACCTTATTTAGTTTAGTCAAATATAAAAATTTCGAGAGTCAATTTTCAAGAAAAAAAAATATCATAAAATTAATAATAATTCATAAACAACTAATACAAACAATAAAAAAATTTACTATGTTGTTTTATTTTAAAATAAATTAACAAAAAAGCAACAAGTTAATAAATGAATTGTACAATTACATCAAACTGCATCAAGTTATTGTATATGTAAATTACAAAACATAAAAAAATATATATGAATTTTAATATATTGTTAATATATCTTACTCCATATGTAAATTATAAAACATAAAATATATATATATATATGAATTATTTTTATAAAACCAACCGTTTATGAGTTTCCCTTGAATACAAGTTAGGGAAAATTCCATATAAATACCCCAACTAAATTTTATTAAGCTTTTTAATACCCAAACTTTTTCACTACCCAATTTAATACCTCAACCAATAAGTTTGCCCACTTTAATATACTAACTTTTATAACTGTGCCCATTTTAATACCCGAACTTTGTTTATTTTAATTAACAATACTAATAAGTTTCAAACAAATTTTAAACAAATCTCCAAAATCTAAGAAAAAATATTTAAAATTTCTGAGTTTACTCTAAGATTTAAGAAAGAAGGTAAATAAACTCTGGAGAAAATTTAAATGTTTAAAAAAAAATTTGAAGGAAAAAAAAATAATTTACTTTTTATTTTAGAAAATAAACTAAATTCAATATATAAAACTTAAAAACTTATTACAAAACTTAAGATTATAAAAGAATTATTTAATTTCATTTCTCTAACATATAATAAAACCAATTTTTTTTGTAAAGTTTAGAAGTTTTAAAATTTTTATTGGAAACTTATTCGTATTGTTAATTAAAATAAACAAAGTTTTGGGTATTAAAATAGACACATTATAAAAGTTTGTGCATTAAAATGAATAAAATAATTAGTTAAGGTATTAAACTGGGTAGCAAAAATGTTTGGGTATTAAAAAGTTTAATAAAATTTAGTTGGGATATTTATATGGAATTTTCCCTACAAGTTAAATTAAACATCCGCACGGAGGTGCGAGTCAAATTCTAGTTGATTTTAATAGAGTACAAGAGTTGATACATGCATAATACATTGATACACCAATAATGAGCAGACCCCAAATACACAATTCGCAATTATAAAGCCAAGCATTAAAAGGAAACAATGAACTGAATGAAGAGGTGAATTATCTTAGACCAAAAAAAGAAGTGATTTATCAAATGCATAAAGAGAATTCGGCAAAAAAAAATACGAACTTTGCACGAATTGCCAAAAGAAACATGAATTTTTGGGCTGATAAAAACTTTCATTGATTTTAGAATTAATTTACAATTTTTTCGTTGGCTTGCCAATTTAACACGCCATCAGCAAATTTAACAAAAAAATTGAACGTCGTTTATTGTTGGCGTTAAGTGAAACGACGTCGTTTTCAAATGAGATGAAACAACGTCATATTACATGATTTGAAAATAAAAAGAAGTACACCCTAGGATTCGAACTTAGGTTGGTTGGGACAAATATTTTACCACTCGTCTAATGGCACTTTCAATGGAGTTATTACCACATTTAATTTTATTTGGTACTGATTTTATATAAAAAAATATCTAAAAACTTTAAAAGACCTTTCAAATTCCAAAAAAATTAAAAAAAAATAATAATTTGAAATTTAAAATAAAAAAAATTAATTTTTTCTTTTAAAAAATCAAAAATCTTCCAAAATTTTCATTTTTTAAAAACAATTGCTAAAAATTGATATTAATTATAAATACATATTAAAATACCCACATATTAAAATTAAATTAAAATGCTTAAAATAAATTTTGTACCCATTATGAGTGCGATTTTAATTTTTAGTTGATTATTGTAACTTTAAGTTTTTGCGTTTTCTTTGAATTTTTATTTTTTGAGTTTGAAAAAATGAAAATTTGAATATTTTTGATTTTTAAAGAAAAATTAAATTTATTTTTTATTTTAATTTCATAATTAATTTATAATTTTTTCAAGTTTTTGGAATTTTAAGATTTTAAGGTTTTTAGAGATTTTTTTATATTCAGTTAGTACCAAATAAAATTAAATGTGTTAGTAACTCCATTGAAAGTGCCACTAGCCGAGTGATAAAATTTCTTGTCATCTGTCCCAACCAACCCGAGTTTGAATCCAGGGGTGTACTTCTTTTTATTTTCAAATCATGTAAAACAACGTCGTTTCATCTCATTTGGTAATATGGCCAGTCAACCTTAAAGTTGTGGATACTAAAATTAGGATACTAAAGTCAATCTTAAAGTTGTAGATACTAAAACTAGGTTCGCCAGTCGAATATATTTTACTAAAATAAAGTTAATAAAAAAATATATTGTGCAAAGTTCTAGTAGGACTATTTCATGGGAAATTGCCAAAAATAACACTTTCAAGATACCACTTTTCAAATTTACACTAACCAACTTTACCATTAAAAATTTAATAGTCAAAATACTATTAGAATTTATGGTTTAGGGTTTTGGGTTTAGGATTGATAGTTTAGGATTTAGTGTTGATTTTTTAGGGTTTAGGGTTTACTTTTTAGGGTTTAGAGTTTAAGGTTTAAGGTTTAAAATTGATATTTTAGGGTTTAGGGTTGACTTTTAGGGTTTAGGGTTTACTTTTTAGGGTCTAGAGTTTAGAATTGATGTTTTAGGGTTTAGGGTTAATATTTTATTTAATATTTATTTTATGTATATATATAAATAACAAAGATATAAGAGTCTTTTATCCTTTAATAAAATGTGTATTTTTGAAAATGTTCATTTGTTGATGGTAAACATGAAAAATGGTACCACCAAAGTGGTATAATTGAAATTCTCCTCTATTTCATTCATTATTTAAGCTCATTTAGTTTACATTACTGAATTCAATATGTAACATTTCTATAAAAAAGTAATAATCATAAGAATATTAATAATAAAATAATTTAACTATAATTTATAATTTTATGTTTAGTTGTAACAAAATCAGCTAAGAAAAAAATATAAAAATATCTTACTAAAATTCAAATAGTTTTTTCTAAAATAATGTAATAACTAATTTCATAATTAATGTTAATTAATATTTTAGTATAAACGAAGAAAAAAATATATGCTATTTTTCATAAATTTTATAATTAGAACTTATACTACCTTAAAATAGAAGTATTGTATGAATGAAAATTTATATTATAATATCAAGTTATACATTATAAGTGAAAATATATTTATACAGATGTCTAGGTCTAGTTCTAATTCTAGTAATAAACAATAAAACTCATTCCTATTTGCTCAGGGCTACACGAAGACAGAGAATCTTCATTACTCATATCCTCCTCCAATTACCTTCGGATTTTAGTCCACAACCTGTCCTTCAATCCAAAATAATTATTTTAATATTACTCTTTAGTCTTTACTTCATCCACTCCTTTATCAGACTCCACTCGGACCACCCCAATTGTTTCATGTATTTACCAAAGTACTGTAAGTTTTTCCCATAAACGAAAAAACTATCGCCTTAACCAACCAAAAAAACATTACTCAACAAGTTCCTCCTTTATTCCAGCTTCTCTGTCATTGCTTAATTGGATCGAGATACCTGTTCATCTTCATTTACCAGAGAAAAAATGTAAATAGTTTCAGTCAAAATATTTTTGATATGTTGTCAAAATAATGGTTGTTGGATTGTTAGACACAAGAAAAAAAAAACTCAAGTTCACTTCTCTTATTAATTCCACTTTTCTGAATCAGGTTCTTGGTTTGTTTCAGCTAACATTAGTATTTCTATGAAGTAGAGGAGTTAGATAACAAGAACCCAAGTATTGGAAAT